TTGTTGTTTCGTTGCTAGGTCATGTCCGACTCTTGATGACCCCATGGACTCCCCTGATTAAGCCTGGCTCAACCCCTCCCCTCCCTCCTTCAGGGTTTTCTCAAACTCCCTTCTCTGACAACCCTATGTAAACCATACCCCTCAGTGTTCTCCTGTCCTCCATTCAGTTTTCCCCTTAGCACTTCTTATTGTCTGATATCTACTAGTAACTTAATGTCTTCTACCAGATGTACCTTCCTTACCTACTGGCACACAGTAGATGCTTCAGATGTATATTTGTTGAGTGGATGAATGAATGAATCCTGGAGGCTGCGGAGCAGGACAGCGTGAGTAGAATTTTAGAACCAAAGGAGAAAACCCGCAGATCTGCATATCCTGGCACTAGGTGCTGGCATCCACTCACCAGGTCAGCTCAGCTGATCCAATCCCAGAAGGAACTCAACCCTGCTGGTCACCTTACATGGGGACAAGAGTCTGTGTGTGGACCAGCACAGTCGAGTCTTTCTCCTGGACAGAAACCTCAGACACGCACCTCATCACCATACACCAGGTGCCGCATCTCAATGCCTCTTTCAATGAACAGGTACTGGGGAGAAATTCTTTCCCAAGTGAGTTAAGACGATGCAGGTCCCTGTTGTCTGAATACCTCTTATCTGTCTCCACCCTGCATCTCTCTCCTGAAAACGTGATGGTGTTATCACTGGCTAGTTCGCATCCTATCAGACTGGAAGGGACCCTAGAGAAGTGAGTGGGGAAACGGGACAGCCAGCAGGGGATGGTGAGAAACAGTCTCAGGAAATGGTACAAAAATACTGGGCCTCAGAACTCTGCCAAAAACAGAAAAGAAGACAGCAAGACACACTTTTTCCCCTCTAAAGAATATCATTATGTACAAACTTTATGTACATGCTTTCTCTGCTTTGACACACTTGTGAGTCACTCTGCACATTCATCTGGGACACAGCTGGTTAAAGTGAGTGGTGACTTCATTTCCCCTGGGACGAGAGGCTCACCATTTATTCTTCTGATGGCTGAGAAATGTTTTGGTCTGTTCTGAGGCTAGTCTGAGAAGACTTCCAGTTAGACACTGGCTGGGGGCAGAAATATTCCACATCCAATCACACAGCCCTGCCTGCCGTCTCTTCCTCCCTATTTACACCCTCTGAAAGGCGGCTTTGTGGTTCCGAGTCCCCTAGGAGAGACAACAAACACCCCACAGAGGAAGCTCTAGAAGGAGGACATTTGGGAGTGTGCAGGCCAGTGCCTGCTGCTCCCTGAGCCGTTTTCACTGCATGGCTGAGATGAAGAGACCACCTAACAGCTTCAATCATGGTTTGGGGACAGATGCATCCAGTGAGGTGGGGCTTCTGGCTAGAGACAGCATGCAGTGCTGATGCCGAAACAAACTGTAGCTCAGGGAAATGAGACGGGCAAAGGGAACATTCAGTTGGGTTTGCAAACACCTTCTTCCCGTGGCAAACAGCTCTGACATCTCAACGTTGCTTGGAGTTGCTCACAGAGGGTAAACTGCGAAGCAGCAAAACGGAGCACTTGTTCTCTGTACTCCTCTGCTCCTGAGCAGCATTCATCTCCCAAGAGCAGGCCAGCTTGAAGGTCAAGCTGATGAGAAGCAACCCCCCAGGCCAGTGGGGGCCTCAGAATATCCAGGAAGAGTGTAAACTAGATGAGCAATGGAAGTGGCAGCGTCCCCAAGCTGCCAGAGCTGATTCAGCTTGCTTCTGGGCTCTCTTCTCACCTTGAGTGAGGCAACACAAAAACCCGTTTTCCATTTCAGAATCCTGTCAACTGGAACAAATCCACCAGTGGGAGCATCTCCACAAGGGCAATCTCTAACTCCTTTCCTACTCAAACAGTTAGTGCCTTTGAATTAGTACTGCCCCACGTTTTTACCTTCTTCATTCATCTTTCCGCCCAGCTTCAACAGACAACTGACAAACTGACAGCAAAGTGAGACCTCCCCACCCTGAGGTCCTCCAAGAGAATGCTGCTAGCCAAGGAAAGATCTGATAACCCAGGAAATAGTTCTTAACAAAGAAAAGTGACTTTGAACTATGTTTCAGAAATACAAAGATCTAAGTGTTGACTCTGTGTAGAAAGGAATAAAGAAAAAGTTCTTTTCCCTTCCTTCAATAGAAGGAAGTCACTCGAGGAGATGCATGTGAATTCAAAACAAAAGCAAATCAAAAACAAAAAAGCATCAACAAATGCATTCCATAGTGATGGCCACGTCTCAGCCCATCTTGGCTTCCAGCCCAGCTGGTTTAGAACTTGCTGGGAAGACATTCACAAATCCAGTTAAGCTGCTCAAAGGGAAACTCCAGATATAACACCCAATACACTAATAAGAAAATACTAGAGCGCCTCCAAATAGATTTTGCTTTAAGTAAGTCTGCAGCTCACGAATTTTCAGATTGGACAATGTAATCATTTAAACTCAGAAGTGCTCACATCTCTACGTTTTCTGATACTCTATGCACCCTTTAAAGCAGTTCTTCTCTGCACCTTTCATTCTGTGGCCACTGTCTATCTCCTGCAAAATAATTCCTAAATTTTTCAATCTCTGTACATAAAGCTTCCAATTTGTGTGTTGACAGAGAACAAAGGAGGTAACGTTACATCTTAGAAGAATGTTACACTTCATCATAGAAATGGGGGTGAGCAAGGTCTATAAGATTGCTAAACCCAAGCCAACACTAGGGTCTACTGGTTAGCTGCAACAAACTTATTTGTTTTCAAAAAGGCCTTGGTTGGGCAATCCTTGTGTAAAGCAAGCTTGTAAATGATAACATACCTATAGCGAAAGCAAGTGTTTAGGCTACAAGAGACTGTACAACTTCTCCAAAAGGCTACTCTTCACCAACAGAAGAACGCAATTTCAAGGCCAAAGATATCAAAATGAATTGTCCTCTCTGCTGTTACACCAGGAGGTTCCTTTACCCAGACATTTGCCAGAATCTTTTTTTTTTTTTGCCGGATTTTTTTAACGCTTCTTCTCTCCTCTGACAGGCCTGCAGAGGCCCAAACTTAATAGAATCTGAGAGAAAAGAGCCCATCGGTCTATAAGAAGCCAAATAGTGAGGCCAAACTCTTTCTCCTGGCATAGTTCTCCCTGCAGAGCTGTGAAGTGACATTCCAATGATGAACTAACTCTACTTGGGTCTCCTCGGCAAAGAGACCATGTCTTTACAAGCCTAGCCCATGGGGGTTCATAATTATGTCAGACCAGTTTTTTTTTTTTTTCCTCATTGTTGCTGCTTTTAAACAAAGAGGTTAAGCCTCTGTACAACCTAGTGGAAGAACCAGAATTAGAAAACTTACCAATCGCCCCAGCCAATGAGAATCCATTTCCAACAGGTATTAAGGCCTGTTAGAAGCCACTGGAACACTGACATCATCAGCCCAATTGATAGGTTGTCTGACAGATTCGCCCCCTTCATCGCACACAAGAATTTGAAACAAAACAAGACACTGCAGTTATATTCATTATTGCAGACAACATGTTTCTTTATGCTATCAAATCTAAATTATTCCTATGGTGTGGATTCTACCATCATTCCCTTCAAAGCCTCTCTATGATCTGGCCAACACCCTAAATGTTCTAACCTGAAAAATCTTATCCAAATACCAACTCAACACTTAGTCCTCCACTATCATACTTAATGCCTTCTGAGGTACAGCATGCAAGTTTAGTGCATGCCAGTGTACTGCCCAACAGTCATCACTCTTCTATCTGCAATGAAACCCGTGTAATGGGTGACCACGGGTCAATTCACTGTTTAAAGCGGATTTACCAGCTCCTCCCTCCCTTTCTCTAAGAAAGCAACAAATAAGTGAGCAAGAAGTAGTCTCAGAAGAAGAAATAAACTTTGGGACAATATGCACTGAGAAAAGCCAGACTGAGTCCCCCTGGATCAAGTTAATTAAGAAACAATTAAACATGACAGTATCTTGGAATCAAAACCAAGGAATGCCGTGAGGACAGGTTTCTCAATTGCCCAGAGGAGAAGACACAATTCCTTTTCATCTAAAATTAGAAAGCCACCCGAAACATAAGCCAAGAAGCATGGGTAGGAAGGAGGCTGAGAATCATAAGTTAGCAATGGGAATGGAGGTGGGGTGGAGGAAGAAAGTAAATATCCATTTTGTTTTACTTCTGTCATTCATTAGGTTTGCTCCCGACCTTTGGGATTCGGCAGTTCCACCCTCCCCACTCCCATGGGATGTCAGGTAACAGGCTGGGAGCTCTGTCCACAAGTTCTTAAACGTCTCACAATTCTGCTAAGCGCTGGCAGATATCTAGCTGGAAGCTCAAAGATGCAAGTGAAAATATTAAAAGGTTTCTGCCCACTCCTCAGTCCAAGGCGAGAGATCATCTACTTAGGGAGCGCCCTCGTGTCCTGACACTACCTCTCGACTGTCTACCCAGAGAACTAAGTTGACTTCCACGCCCATCAGTGCCCGTGTGTTGGAGCCGTCGGAATTTCAAGTATTCCCCCGCCCCTCTCTGCAGTCGGGAGAACACTGAATCGCTGGTGGGCACCTAGAGTCAGAATGCAAGAGGGTCCCGGAACACAGGACAAGCGCACAGGGAGCCGACCGCCTCCTCAGAGCAGACCCAGGCAACGTCCCCGGGCCGGGAAACACTCAGGTGGGTCGGCGACCCGGCAGACAAGGTGCCAGGTTTGCCCTGGGTGCCCGCTCCTCTCGCCAGCCCCCGGAAGCGCCTCCCTCCCGCCTAGCGGGCTCCGAGGGGGCGGGGAGTCGAACGCCCCCTTCCGGGTGCCTCCGCCTGGCTGGCCAGCCCCGCTCCTCCTCCGGGCGGGAATCCTCCCTCCCCGCCCCTACCGGAGCCGGGCCCCGGCGCCAGGTCCGGCCCCATGGGGGAACCCCCAGTCCCGGCTCCCTCTCCCTGCGGCCTCTGCCCGTCTTCCCGACCCTTGAGAGCCGGGAAGACCCCGCCGGCAGCGGTCAGGACCCACCGCTCATTACGACATCTTCCTCCCTGGCCTCCGCCGCCTCCGCCGCCACCGAGAGCCTGACACCGCCCGCCTAGCACCCGCCAATCCCGGAGCCCGCCACCGCCCGAGCGACGGCAGCGTTCACCAATAAGAGTTCGGTACATTGGGGACCGACAGCACAATCAACCAATCAAAGAGAGGCATCTAGAGCGACGTTGGCTTGGCCAATAGACCTGTGCAATGTCACTGATGGACGGTAGAGGGCACCAACCGGAAGCTTACTGAAGAGTGAACGACATGTTCGCTAGCCAACTGAAGGGAGGCAAAGTCCCACCTACCAGGTGGTTGATGGACAGCAACAGGAAGCTAGATGGGGAGGGTCTTAGCTAAGGAGTGGTTTTGTATTGGTCGTGGTTGACCTTCCACCCACCTCTAATCCAGAAGATGAGTGATAGATCTGCCCTAAAGCCAATCAAAAGTCCTCAGGGTGAGGCCGACAAATGCCCTATAAATAGCATCTACTTTGAGCCTAAATCCAGCGTCGCCCTGGTGTGGTAGGGGCGTCTTGCTCTTCGGCCATTTCAACCCGTTGCGTGGTGAGTTGAAAGCCACCAGTCTTTCATTCAATTTTTTACCTTTCATCGCTTCTGAAGAGGGAAGTGAGCCTCCAGGGCGACTTTGTCAGTGAGACATTGGCGGCAGGCACAATAGCGGGAGTTGGGGCTGCGTGACACCTCTCAAAGTACTTCCACCGTCTCAGTTCAAATCCCCCATAATCCTCACCTGGTTATTGCATCAACCTGCCAACGTGGGCATCAGAATCACCTGAAGCTCTCTAAAAGATTTTGGGACTGCCTCTCGTGTCCGGCGCACGACAGAAATATGCATTCTAACGAGCGCCTCTGGTGGACAGAATTGGCCTCTGCCCCCACTTACCTCCTTTAATGAAGCGCTGTGAGACTTGGCAGGCGCGACCTGGGTAGGTTTATCTTCCCTATAAGATGTGTGACTTTGGAACGCGTTAATGAGAAGGAATCCACTCTGGTGTCAGACCAGCCTGGGTTCGAAACTCGCACGGCCTACTTACAAGAGAGGCAGGGTACCGAAACTCCGTGCATCTTACGTCCTCATCTGTGAAATGAGACTGCTCACACCTACACCTTAGAGCAGTGACTTTCCTTTTTTTTTTTTTAAATCATAACCCCACAGTGAGAAATACATTTGCATCCTCACCCGGTACACTTATACTCCTGTGAGTGTATGATAAAATTTTACAAAAACAATACTTACCTTTCCTAACCATGATCCACTGATGTTTTCTGTCCTGTCCTATCTTCTTTTTTCCCTCCCTCCCTTCCTCCTTTCCTTTTTTTGGGGATCCTCTGTCCATGGAATTCTCCAGGCAAGAATACTGGAGTGGGTAGCCATTCCCTTCTCCAGGTGATCTTCCCAACCCAGGGATCATATCCAGGTCTCCTGCATTGCAGGCAGATGCATTACCATCTGAGCCACCAGGGAAGCCCTATGTGTATATGTTAATCCCAACCTCCTCCTATTTTATCCTTTATCCCTGTCTTTTCTTGATCTGGCAGTTTGAATAACATTATCATGAAGGGTTGATATAATAAAATACAGAGCAGAATGTGCAGCATATTGTAATTGTTGAATAATTGTTACTAGTCTCTTCCAGGCTACCCCTTTGAAAAAAGAGGATTTCAAAAGAATTCACTTTTTCAGCTAAGATACTTCGTTGGCTCTCTTCGCCCTTCTAGATAAAAAGTCCATACTCCTTTCTAGGCAAACAATGGCCTTCACACTCTTTGTGTATCTTTCATGTTTCATCTCCCTCTGCCATCCTATTCTCTTTACATAATCCTACCTTTTTGCCTCAAGAAGAGGTTCCACAGTTCCTAAACACATGCTCATCTATTTCCTGTCTTTTTCCTGGTAAACTCCTATGCATCCTTCAAGAACTTGCTCAAAGTTTGATCTCCTGCTAAGCCAGATCCTTTTCCTTTTCTGGGCTGTTCTTGGCACAGGCAAAGGGCTTCACTCTCTCACACTGCAGTGCCCACTTTCATTCTTCTGACTTCTCTCCTAGACTGTGGGCTGCAGTGGAAGGTTTGAGGCCAGTACTAGAAAACTGGCAGGAAATGCACGCTGAGCTAAAGAATGAATATTTGCATACAATTACATCTACATATGACTTGTTTATGTAGACCGTACATGCTGTTCCCATGCCCTTATTCAAGGTAAGATTGCTTCACTGTTGAGCCAAGGACTCCACCCGGGTTCCATGAGTCAGGTATTTTAGGGTGCAGGGATTTGAGGGGCGAGGTGGGGTTGAATTTCCTGCTGGGCTGCTGCCAGACCTCTTGTGAGATGAAAGCTGGGGCGGCTATGCTTCTTCCACCCCAGAAGCCCTGTCATGAAGCCAGCAGAAGCAGGAGGGATTTGCATGTGTGGGTAGGGGGCAGGGTGCAAAAACTTAGAAGAATTTGGCAGGAGTTTTGAGTAGTTTAAATGGTTCTTCCCTTTAAAGACCACCGTGTTTCTTGTTTCCGCCAGAGGTACAGCTGAGGAAGGGGGCACCTGCTAAGGAGAGGACCCCCTTGTACTTTTGTCAGGACCCTTGGAGTCTTTGAGCCTCGCTTACAACACACTAAAGCCATCACACAGTTTCTCTTCCCACAGATCGCTTCCCGCAGATGGCCCCCAGACTCTACAGAGAGGACAGGCAAGGTTGCCAGCTCCTAATGCCTGCTTTCCCCTGGCTGCTCTTTAGATTCACTAGAGATTGCTTAATAAATTCTAAACCATGGCCAAGAAAATCAGAATCTCTGGGGGTGCAACCCTGGTGAGGGTATCAAGTTCTTCAGGTTATTCCAACAGGCAGCCAAATTAGAGGACTGCTTGTCAGCCCAAAGATGTTTTCTGGTGGGGGTCCTCAGGTAAACCACTATGAATAGTCTATAACCTCCACCTCTACCCATTCCTGTCCCTCCTCTTCCTGAGTTTCTCCCCTGCCCATCCTACCTGCTTCGATCTCCACGGAGCCAGGGCGGACAGGTGGTTCCAGTGCAGGTCTCAGCATCAACCAGGAGAAGACTGTTTTCCATGGGTGCGTCTGGACATAGCTTCTCCTTCAGTGATACCTGCCTTGTTTCCAACCACTTTCAGCCTCTTCATGCTCTAAGTTGTCACTTTCTCCCCGTTTCTAATTTGTTAACCTGTTCTCCACCGCAAAGTCCCTGTATTTGTCTTGTCCACCACAGCACCTTCCACTCCCCACACATTGCTTGATATATAGTAGGTACATGGTACATGCTTGTTGACTGAGAGAATGACTGCATCTGAAGGAGTCCTTGGGCCTAGAAAAGAACACAATGGTCTCAAAGGCCTTTGCTGAATCATCTAACTTCGGGGAAAACAAAACTGAACTTTAAGTCCTGCCCTGATGCTCCAGGCCAGTTGCATCTACCTGGAACTTATTGCTCCCTGCCCCAAACCTCCCACCTAAAAATGCCATCTCAACCAAAGATTACCCAAAATGTCCCGCCTGACTAACATTTCCCTTATTGCTTCCACAACCTCCCTTTAAATATGAAGCCTCCCGGATCCCTCTCACGCTCAGCCTGGTCATTAGGCTGACTGTCACCCCTCCTTGCCTGAATAAAGGTAACCTACCTATGTGCAGGTCATCTCTCCTTTTCTGCCTCGGCCCGTACTATATCTTACATTCTCAGTGCTGAAACCCAGGAGAGGGCAAGGCACTTGTGTGTGTCTCTCTCTGTCTCTCTCTCTTTCTCACTGTCACTCTCTCTCCCTCTCATTGTTTCTCCTTTTCCTGGAATCTGGGAACGTGAACTCACTTTCTGCCAGGGCTCATAAGTTCCCCTCAGGGACACCTAGTGCCTTTGTAAGTGGTGCAGGCCTTGTCCTAAGGCTTTATTGGTGCTTTACGTACCTGCAGGCCTCCGGCTCTATCCTCTTTTTTTCTTTCTCTTTCTCTGATGACCTCCGGAATAGGGAACTCTTGCCATTCAACCGCTCTACATGCAACACTCCACCCAAGCCGGCCCCCAAAATTAAGGTAAGATCTGGACAGTGTTCTAGAGGCACCCTAGAACCTAGTCCTCTCCGGGTCCCGGGGACCCCCGGCCTAAGACCACTCTCTAAGCAACCGTGGGGGACGCTCCACCTTGACACAGAGCTCTTTTCTCATAACTCCTATTGTTGTGGGTGACGACTCGAACTCCCACTAGGAGCCTCTGCTTGCCTTTCAATTATGGGGTCTGGCCAGTCTGTCCCAAAAGATTACCCTCTGGCCTGTGTTCTCAAAAATCTCAAACCGCTCTTACTGAACTCAAAGCTAACCACTTAACTCTGTATACAGGTCTGGCATCAATACCAATTGGACATTCAAGAACCGCTGACCTGAATTTGGCACATTTGACTTTAACATTCTTCAAAATCTCACCAACTTCCTTAAATGGAATGGCAAGTGGTTGGAGGTCCCATATGCCCAAGCCTTTTGGGTCCTTTGAAGCAGGCCCTCCCTATGCAAGGACTGCTCTACCCACGAGGTCCTTCCATGCACCTTGCCTCCCAAATAAAGGGCTCTTCTTCAATTAACTGCCGATGGTGACTTTCCACACCCCTGGAGTTTGACTCCACTGACGAGCTCCCTCCCTACCAGCCACACCTCCAACCCTGTCCTTCCCCCTCATCCAACTCACCTACTGACTCTGAAACCTCTCCTGACTGTCCCTCAACCCCACTACCCCGTTTCCCTGACTCTTTCCCCCTTTCCTTCCCCTCTGCCACAGGGTCGGTACCCACAGGGTCAATACATGATAACCCTGAGAGAGGTGGCAGGACCAGAGGGCCCCACCCGAGTCCACGTGCCATTTTCATTGTCAGACATAAGCCAGATAGAAGAAAAGTTAGGATCATTTTCTGAAAATGTATCTGAAAAATCCTACCAGATACAGAAAAGAATCCCTGAGACTCTCGCAGACCTATAACCTCACATGGAGTGACATATATTATATCTTAAATGCCACTCTCACCCCAGATGAAAAAGACCATATCTGGCAAATAGCAAAAGCCCATGCTGAATCACTTACATAACCAAGACCTGGATAGCCCAGTTGCTCATGAGGCAGTGCCTCAATTAGATCCCCACTGGACATAGCATCCGGGTGACCCAGGTATCAGGAGACTCAATCATATGATTACCTACCTTCTAGAAGGAATGCAGAAAAATACTCATATCCATGTCAGTTATGATAAAGTCAGGGAAGTCACCCAAGGGGCGGATGAAAATCTTGCCTTATTCTTGTCATGTCTCACAGAGGCAGTCGGGAAGTATACCAACCTAGATATCACCACCCCTGCTGGGTTACTCTACCTTCATGTTCAGTTCATCACCCAGTCTGCCCCTGATGTTAGACGCAAGCTTCAACAACTAGAGAAGTGCCAAGACACCCCCAAAGAGACCTTCTAGAAGTAGCCTTCAAGGTGTTCAATAATAGGAGGAGACTAAGAGAGAAAAAGACGTGAGAGAAAAGCTAAATATGCCTTTTTGGCGGCAGCAATTAAGGGAAGAGATCAGCCTGGCCCAAGTTATCCCAGAACGGGCCTTAAGACCTGCTCCCTCCCCGGACCCTGCTTCTGATGCAACCAGTCGGAACACTGGGCGAAGGCATGCCCAAACCCATGGCCCCCCACAAAAGCATTCCCAAACTGTGGTCGATGGCTACACTGGAAAATGGACTGTCCCCAGGGACACCCTGGCACTCCTGGGGAGGTCCCCACCTCCCAGACTTGGAGAGTGGAATGTCCACAGGGATGCCCTGGTGCCCCTGGAGAGATCCCTACTCCTCCCTGGAACCCCAGCCCAACCCTATGATAGTTGTTCCAATGATGGGACCTGGGTTCCAGCTCCCCAGCCCATGTCCCGAATACGAGCTCGGAACTTAGGGTAGATGGGGTAGTGGCCGGGGAAAAGACCTCCTTTATAGTAGACACTAGAGCCGCTTTTTCTCTCTTAACTTCCTACTCTGGCCCAACTCAAGACTCAGAACTCACAATCAGGGAGGGTCTCTGGAGTTCCCTTAAGGCCAAAAATCAGCCCTCCATTACTCTGTCAATTTGGAAAATCGGCCCTCATACAGTCATTCCTCATAATGCCTCAGTGCCCGATGGCACTCCTAGGGAGAGATTTGTTATCCAAATGGGGGTCTTTATTACCATACCCCCCCTTGATACAGTCTCTATATTCTGCATGCAGATGGCACCTGGACCGTCCCTATCCTTCACCCCTGACCTTCCCTCGGATCTACCTGCCTTAGACCCCCCAAGTCTGGGACACTGATCACCCACCCATAGCCAAACATCATCCCCCAGTCCACATTACCCTAAAAGACCCCTCAACTATAATCACCCAGCAATAGTACTCTATCACCCTGGAGGCCCACAAGGGACTTAAGCCTATCATAGACCATCTTCAAGCCTCCATCTTAATTCCTACCCATTCACCATACAACACCCCTATTCTAGCAGTAAGGAAGGGACCAAACTTGGAGACTGGTCCAGGATCTGCGAAAAATCAATGAGGCTGTCACGCCGACATTCCCAGTAGTCCCTAACCCTTACGCCCTTCTGTCCACCATACCCAGCCCAGTCACTATACCTGCCGTACTGCAACCCACTTCACAGTGTTAGATCTCAAAGACGCCTTTTTCACCATCCCCCTCCACCCCCTCTCCCAACCTTTTTTTGCCTTCACCTGGCAAGACCCTGAGGCTCATGTTTCCCAACAACTAACATGGACAGTTCTCCCCCAGGTGTTCAGAGACAGCCCCCATTTTTTTGGACAGTCTTTATAAAAGGACCTACAGACACTCGACCTATTCCCAAGTCGTCTCCTCCAATACATAGATGACCTCCTCTTTTATAGCCCAACCAGAAAACTCTGCCTCCAACATACTGCCAAACTTCTTGGGACCCTGGGATCCTGGGGTTATCAGGTGTCCCGATCCAAGGCCCAAGTAGTACATACAAACGTCACCTACCTGGGGCTCTCCATATCCCACCAACAAAGAACTATTCCCCCAGACAGAATCCAGGCCTTAATTAACTGTCCACTTGCAAAAACAAAAAGGGAACTCCTGTCTATCCTCGGCCTCCTAAACTTTTTCTGTATCTGGATCCCTAACTTCTCCCTCATTGCAAAGCTGCTCTATGAGGCAACTAAAGGATGTCTGGATGAGCCCCTCTTTAACCCCTCCTCGCTGGCCAATCCTATTCGCCAGCTCACCAAGAGCCTCCTCCGAGTGCCAACTCTCCACCTGCCACATCACACCAGACCATTCTTTCTCTTTGCCCGTTCCAACCAAGGACAGGCCCTGGGGCTTCTATGTCAGCGGGCTGGAGACACCTGGGCTCCTGTAGCCTATCTATCAAAACACCGATGGCCTCCCTGTATATAGTCCATGGAAGCTGTTGCAGCGCTCATACCCGAAGCAAATAAACTCTCTAGGCATGCCCCTTTAACAGTCTGTCCTCCAGTGTGGAGATTCCTTAAAAAACTGGAAGTAGGACTGCCATATGACCCAACAATCCCACTCCTGGGCATACACACCGAGGAAACCATAACTGAAAGAGACATGTGCACCCCAATGTTCATCGCAGCACTGTTTATAATAGCCAGGACATGGAAGCAACCTAGATGCCCATCAGCAGACGAATGGATAAGGAAGCT